TCCTGAAAACTAATATTGTGTTCGTAATCAGCATGCTCGATTACCCCCTGTGCAAAATCCCAGCCTCGCATGTCAAAATTTACAAAAAATCGATAAAATCAATAAAAGTAATCGATAATTCTGAAAACTAATATTGTATTCGGAATCCCCATGCTCACTTCCCCCCTGTGCCAACTCCTAGCCTGTAGGTGAACTCTGCAAAAAAGTCGATAAAAATCGGTAAAATCGACATCGATCGATAACGAAAAGTGGACTGTGACACCCGCCGGGGCCCGAAGTGTATGTGTGCCAAGTTTGGTCCGGATACGGCGGAGCCGGGTAAGCCAGCTAGTAACTTATAATAACGGGCTAAGGGTTGTTTACGTGTGTGTGTGTGTGTGTGTGTGTGTGTGTGTGTGTGTGTGTGTGTGTGTGTGTGTGTGTGTGTGTGTGTGTGTGTGTGTGTGTGTGTGTGTGTGTGTGTGTGTGTGTGTGTGTGTGTGTGTGTGTGTGTGTGTGTGTGTGTGTGTGTGTGTGTGTGTGTGTGTGTGTGTGTGTGTGTGTGTGTGTGTGTGTGTGTGTGTGTGTGTGTGTGTGTGTGTGTGTGTGTGTGTGTGTGTGTGTGTGTGTGTGTGTGTGTGTGTGTGTGTGTGTGTGTGTGTGTGTGTGTGTGTGTGTGTGTGTGTGTGTGTGTGTGTGTGTGTGTGTGTGTGTGTGTGTGTGTGTGTGTGTGTGTGTGTGTGTGTGTGTGTGTGTGTGTGTGTGTGTGTGTGTGTGTGTGTGTGTGTGTGTGTGTGTGTGTGTGTGTGTGTGTGTGTGTGTGTGTGTGTGTGTGTGTGTGTGTGTGTGTGTGTGTGTGTGTGTGTGTGTGTGTGTATGTGTGTGTGTGTGTGTGTGTGTGTGTGTGTGTGTGTGTGTGTGTGTGTGTGTGTGTGTGTGTGTGTGTGTGTGTGTGTGTGTGTGTGTGTGTGTGTGTGTGTGTGTGTGTGTGTGTGTGTGTGTGTGTGTGTGTGTGTGTGTGTGTGTGTGTGTGTGTGTGTGTGTGTGTGTGTGTGTGTGTGTGTGTGTGTGTGTGTGTGTGTGTGTGTGTGTGTGTGTGTGTGTGTGTGTGTGTGTGTGTGTGTGTGTGTGTGTGTGTGTGTGTGTGTGTGTGTGTGTGTGTGTGTGTGTGTGTGTGTGTGTGTGTGTGTGTGTGTGTGTGTGTGTGTGTGTGTGTGTGTGTGTGTGTGTGTGTGTGTGTGTGTGTGTGTGTGTGTGTGTGTGTGTGTGTGTGTGTGTGTGTGTGTGTGTGTGTGTGTGTGTGTGTGTGTGTGTGTGTGTGTGTGTGTGTGTGTGTGTGTGTCCGTTACGAAATTCGTAGAGCAAATTCCAGCCAACCTCTTGAGCCCAAATTTTGCACGGTGCATGCTAGCAGCGTGAAAGTCCGCTATGCAAAAGCACGAGCGGATCCGTTGACTGGATCCCTCAAAAACTGCGCTGCAAACGGATCCACTTGGCTTCTGAACAGCAAAATTGGGCCTGTACCACCACTTTTTGCAAAGTCATGGATATGATTAACAAACTAATGTGCAAGCCATGGACTTTAGCCCAAAAAATTGAACTGAAGTTGATTACTTTAGAAAAATGGCGCCGAGAAAAATCAGTTGCGTAAATGTTCAATTTGCCACGATTTTAAATAATTTTGGGAAGATTTTTGCACAGAGATGTAGCCCACGGTGATCATCGTCATTATAGCGACTATTAAACCATAAAAAGTCCAAAAATCGGTTCAAATTTGCATTTATCCTTCTCGGAAAAGTTTCATCCACGCGAAAATACCGATCTCACACAAAAAAGCTCTCGGAATGAGTAGTTGTTTACAATTCATTCGTGATAGCCTGCATAGCGCGGTAAGTTTCAATGTCACTATTATGCGGGAATGAGCAAGGCATATAGAAAGTAGGGCCAGTGCGAGCCTCTGCGAAGCAGAGGTGACGCACTGGTAAGTTATGATTGGAAATGACTGAGCTGAGAGTTGAGGTGATGCCTTTTTGTATGAGTTTTTCTGTCTTATAGGCGCAAAGACCGCAGTCAAATCCGTCGCCACGATTTTATGAATGACCTATACATCTTTTCCCCTTTTTCTTCCCACTCCACTCTCCTCTCCTACAAAACCGTTTTTGTGAGCTATTTTGTGATCCAAATTATCTTCAACACGCTTGGGCTACTAATTGTATAGTGGAAACTTGCTAAAGCGCTAATTGTCTTTATATGCCTTCTTGAATTCCATGATTAACAAGATAGATTACTCTTGGTTGTCTACTACTTATAATGGTTTAGCTGCCGAGAAACTTTAGGTTCGTTTGCCACACAGCTGCTAATCACTGCCTGTATGATCTCGGTCATACGGTCATCCAAGCCCATCCTGGTGGCTATCTCATATAAAGTCACGTTTGAAAATTTTTCGGAGCGTCAGTCTACTGCGTCCAAAAAACAAGAGCATCAACTTAGATTGGGAAATTGTCGTCGAATTCCTTTTGAATAACGCAAAATGGTTCTAAATCAGAACAATTAATCAAATTCTAAACACTGCACTTTCGTATACAAGAAGATTCGAGGGCACTCAGAAGTTGTTTTCTAGAAACTTTAGAAGGTTGCGCTGCATGGCAGATGCTCAGGCGTAACTTTCTATAGCTTAGCCAGCGACAACAAGGTTTTAAATATGGCACTTCAAATTTTTGAGAGTTTGGTGCTAGGTTGCGGAATGCCCCAGCCCCAAAAAGTGGCAAAATTTTCCTACATAACAGTGGCCATAAGTGATTACGACATTTTCTATTTCACATGGAAAAATAAACCAAAAATTTCCGAAAATGTCTCGCTCTTTTGCACAGCAGCAACACAATTCAAAATTACAAATTTTTTTGGTGCTTATCCATAACGCTGTGACGCTTTTCAAGTATGGAACAGAATTCCGCTGAAAAACATGCAAATAGGGGATTTTCCTTCAAAATTACATTTTCAACGTTTTTTCTCACAATGCAAGGCTGAAGTCTGTTACAGTAACTTATGGACTGCTGCAATATAAAAAAATTTCCTACAGTTTTTTTGTGGTTAAATGAGGACCGTCCGCAATCTTCTGGCGAAAATCGCAAAATTTCCAGGGCCATATGCGAAAGCCTCGTTCTCGATGGCTAGCTCAAATATAGTCACGCTTGCACATCTTTCTTGATGCGTAAACTCTACTAATTTTGGAGAATGAGAGCATGAACTACGGAAGGTCCGAAAAGTTATCGAATTTTGTTCAAATTACCCAAGAACTTTTGATTTGACCCCCAATATATTAGAACTAGTTGGCATACCCGGTTCCGCACGGCCTTGTCAATAATATATTCGTAATCAAAGCTAGCATAACAACGGACAATTTTTCTGTATCAAAACCAACAAGGATATCTGCATTCGTTCTCTGTCCGAGCATTCATGATCGTTCAGATTACTTTAGCGTAAATTTACCGCATTTTCTTCAAAGGACCTCAGTGGGATTGCTTTCTTTACCAAACAAGGAAAAAGGATAGCGTCAAACTTTATTGATTTTCAACTTGTGACTTTGACAACTTGACAACTTTTGAGCGGAAAAAAACATCTCTGCACTGGTTTGTCTACATAACTTTAACAGTTACATACATGCAAAGCAGATCCCTCTATTTCCTATCTTTCACTCAAATTTTTATCTCTCTTGTTCCTTGCGTTTCCAAAATTATCAGCTTTGAAGATAATTAAGCGATTGCAGGAGCTCACCGCTATTTATTGGTTGGCTAAAAAATAGGTTTGTTTTGGCGCGCAAATCTTCATAAAACTTTTTCTTGTTGTTTTCTATTCATGGTTTTTTGTGGGAAAGTAGTTTAAAGATTCCTCTATCACATATTCAATATTTGAGATTTTCTATCATCAGTAAAGACAGTTATGCCTCAACATGGCTAAATTTCCAAAAGCTCAATTCTCTGATTTCCTGAACTTCGTTTTCATGCTGTAATGGATGTAGAGGACAGCAGTCCGGTATTTGGATACAGAGGAGTTTTTCCTATTTAGTGAATAACAATGAAAATTGTGATCTGCTACTTTGGAAATCTTTTATGAAAAAACCCAAATTTCTTCATATTTGTGCATGTGAGAAAATCAGAATTTCTCACTTCCTTGCGGATTTTTTTCCGTGGAAGATAAGTTCTATTCAAACAGAATTCATATTCCAAATTCTATAAAAGTGCTCCTTCCAGAGCTACCAAAAGCTGGACACAATTTGTCTGCAGCATTTGTAAGAGCCGCAAAAGCGACCGAACTTATTTATTAGCCTACCTAGTAATTATCACTACGATCGCAGTTTGCGATATTTCGCAAACAATGGGTGTATATTCAAGTGAAACTCTTGAAATGAAGGTATTTTTGTGAGGAGTTTTTGAAGTATTGCATTGGTCTTTCTTGAAACTTCTAGTTAGCCAAAACATGTTTGGGCCATCATCATTTGCATTCTTCTAGTCTCTTCATCGCGATTCTTTACTTCCGAAAGGTGGAAATTAATAATTTTCTCGCCTTTCTTCTGCCGTCCTCCAAGTCACGATGAAAAGCTTGGCAACGTAAAAATAAAGAGACACCACATACTGAACAAGAAGCTGTTTGGGTTCCGCTGTCGACCGTACGGACTAGCCGCAGATTGCGGAGCCCGCTCCGCGCCTGCCTCCGCAATCTACGGCCAGTTCTTGTGGTCGGCGACTCGGCGACATCTTATAAGCTCACACATTGTTTCGAGTACCACTATTATTTTTACTTGAACAGCTTTCTGGTGCCTGCGTCCGCAAGGAACAATCTTCCATACTTCCGTGATTGAGTGAACGTCCCCATATCAAAAACGGTAAAGGCCGGCTCATTTCTGCAAAGATTTTAACAATGACAAGTTTTCTCTTGTGACTTCCCAGTAAAAAGCTTTAAACTTGTCAGTACGATTATAGACGTACGAAGGCAAGATGCAAGTCATGATCATTCACTTGCAATGAACATTTGGTGCGCCTGTGTTTTACTGGCCTTGTTCGCTTCTACTGAAGACAGTACGACATCGACCTATGTGGGAACCACGACGAGCACTCGCATCGATGTGACGACATCCACCAGTGCCAAAAGCACACTTGGGACCTCAACGTCAGCTGAAGCCACGACTTCTAGTCCAAAAGTCACATCAAAGGAAGCGACGAGCACAGTGACTTCGACAGCCAGCACGGACACGACTCTTACTTCAAAAGTCACTTCAACGAAAGCGACGAGTACAGTACGTGAAAGTTCAACGTCGTCTCAAGCCGGGGTCATGACTTCTAATGCAAAAATTACGTCAACAGAAGCGACGAGCACAGCACATGAAACCCCAACGTCGTCTAAAACCGCGGTCACGACTTCTAGTGCAAGAGTCACCTCAACGGAAGCGAAGAGCACAGTACGTGAGACTTTAACGTCGTCTAAAGCCGCGGACACGACCCTCGGCTCAAAAATCACATCGACGGATGCAACGAGCACTATGAAGCCAACAGATGGCGAAGGTAATACTAAAGGAATCGCTACAAAACACACAGAGGTAGGGATTAAAGCACACAGTATTTGAACGATGACTTTGATATTAATCGTGCATCTCAGACTCCACGAGGTTCCACCACGAAGCCCGCGAAGCCCAAAAAGAAGGCGCTTGAATACGAGGAACATATTCCCTCAGTTCACTTGGCTGAACATCCTAAGCATGCAGAATATTTGGATGGGAAATGTGTAGACCCAGTATTTCTTACTAATGTAAATTTTGTAATATGAGCTTAATAGTTAGGTTAGAAACCCATTTCAGCTTTCACGGTTGGGTAATGAGAACGAACCATTCGAACTGTATGAGAATGAAACGCTGCAAAGGTGTATCTCTATGAAGTTCACATCACTCGCGCAAGAAGACTTATGCAAGAGTTGGGACGAGCGTTTTATAGGTGTGATGTACCGGACTTACGATGTCGAAGCGGCGAAGGTAAATGTTGGCTTTTGTTTGTTAAAAGAATCGGAAGCAAGGCTGGGCACGAGGTGGCTTTAAGCAGTGGTATCAACGCAGAGTACTTAACTTTTGCAAATTTTACGAAGTTTTCTTCAAGCCTTATCCAAAATGTCCGAATCGACTAAAAAACCTATTTTCGGACCCACAAAATCGATATGCCTTTGCTTTTTTCTCAGAAACGATATCCAGTTTGCTTATAAGCCACCTGTGCCGAGCCCTGATCGGGAGACATGACCAAATTCCATATTTGGGATTAACGAAAAAAGAAGAGAACCTTACCTCAAAGAGCGATTAACCCGTACTCAACCGCTCATCGTAGTAAATTTGACCCTAGCATTAGATTCACTCTGACGCTTCGTAATACCCACTGATCTCTCGATGCACACTACTCAGTCCTAGCGGTATGTTTGACAATAAGCACATATTTATGTCTACTACTATCTCATTCCTATGGCCTCTTTTCGTATTTTGGTTTGATGTTATCATCCGCTATTGTATTCAGCCAACTTGTTATAGGGGAAGATTTAGTATAAAGAACACGTCCGACTAAGGGCTCTGATATGGCGAACATCAAGCTCAACAACGAAAAAACTTATCGTAAAATGGACCCTTCCCCTCATTCAAATTTGTGTCCACCAATGTACTCATTCAATAATTTGACAAATGGCCAAACTATCGTAGCTCAACTACATATGTCCAACAAAATGCTGAAAAAAAACTTTATCTTAGTAATATGATTGAAAGAGACGAAAAGAGGATCTAGGTAATTTGAGATAATATCATTTAGAGACATGTGTTTGGTACCAAAAAATATCGCTGAGACTGAATGGTGCATCACGAGATTACATGTTTGTAAGAAGTGTTCGGGTAAATTTAACCTTGCTCTATGCTAGGGTTAAATTTACCTGATGAGCCACGTTCGTGAATATGGGTTTATCGCTTTGTGGGGTAAGGCTTGCCCATAGAGTCGTTGATGAGTACGGGTTGAACTCTTTCCTGGGTTAGCTCCAACTGCAAGGGTAAGTTTAACCCTTGAAGCTAAGCCTATGCTGTGCTCATGAATACAGATATTATGCTTCTGTGGGGCTTACCCCCAAGGGTAAGCTTTACCCTCAGGATTCGTTGATGAATACGGCCACAGCTTGTGGTTTTCCTCGTCAGCTGAAGTTCTTTCATTCCTCAAAAGGCAAAGAGTGCTTTAAAAAAAACTTTGTTTTTAGCGTTTTTGCGCTCTTCGAGGTCAATTTGCAAATTCGGTGCAGCAAGGCAGTCCGTGCGCACTTACACCGCTGAGTAGAGGCGAATATTTTTATTTCTCTTTGTCCATATATCTTATTAACGTTTTCATGCCTCGGTACAGGGCTACCGAGGGGGAGGGCTGTTGAGGAGGGGACCTTTGTTTATATTTGTAAGTAATTAGAATATTTTTGAATTTTTCAAAAAAATTTCAATCTTGTTAAAAGAATTTTTTCGAGTGCGTCTCGAAGTTGTGGGCCCGCGAAAAATTAGAAAGCACCACAAAATCTTCGGAATGCGTGAATAACGCACGGATCTTCTTGTAAAATTTTTTTACCCCCCCCCCCTCCTCTTCACCCCGCACGGATCACATGGGTACGCTACTACTGCTCAGCACCCCTGAGCTTGATGGATGCCAAGACTTTGGCATTCAAACTACGATTTTCACTACTTCGCGCGATCCTCTTGGAAATCACAGGAACCCAGTCTTGTTTTCAATTGTAAGATTGTACCGAGGATCTATTAGGACTCTGCTAGGCATGTCAATGTGAAGGTCGTGACTTTTTAAGTTGTGATAATCGAAGATTTGGAGATCCTGAGATTTCACTTTTACTACTGACATGCTTAGATGCCACGCCTAGGACCATAGATCCTCGATGCGTATCTATAGAAAAGTAGACAGCTCTAAAAACAGGGGGCCTTCTATGGAGATGCTCCCGGAAAGCACACAAAATAGTGAAATTCTCAGTTTCTATAACAACATCCTGACATCCATTGTGCTCAAGTATCAGAATATGAGAAGCACAAGATAGATGAACAAAGAAGATCACAGATATTTAGAGCAGCGAAATATGTCTCCTCACAGCGATACGGTACAGCCGAGCCGATTACCTGAATCGAAGCAAACTTGCTCTGTACTCGTGCAATCAGGGTAGTTTTCCCCGGACACTACCCAAGGCGAACACATAAACTCTTTTTCTTTGAGTAGACTCTTTCAGATGTCCACTACTTCGAAAAAGGTTAATCCGTGTTACTTTATAATTTGATTTCAGGAACTCATCCGAATGGGAAACCAAATAGGAGAAAAAGGTGATGATCGAGATGATGAGGACGATGAAGACTATGAAGACGATGAAGACGATGAAGACGATGAAGATCGAGCAAAAACCTACACACAAGCAACAGAGGAAACGGTAGACTTTATACAAGCAAAGGTGGCAAATGATGGAACTTCCGAACATCTTATGTATGTGGCTATGAGTGGCGGACCGAGGTCCCCCCCTCCCCCGAGAATGGGTCGCCAAATTTTTGAAATTTACTTACGTGGGTTATAAAATTGTGCAAGCGACTTGTTTATTTATGCAAATAATTGAAATAATTTTTTAAAATTCAAAATTAGTACTGCAAAAAAATTTCTTGCGGGGCGTGTCGCCAGCCACGCCCCCTCCTTCTTGATTTTGGGGGTATGGGGCCGCAAAAGATTTGAAAAGCACCCCAAAAATTTTTTCGGAGTGCGTGGCTAACGCCACGACCTTCATTCAAAATTTTTTTGGAACCCCGTACAGAAATCCTGGGACCGCCACTGGTGGCTATGTGTATAGGGCACTCATAAAATCGTGACAACGATTTGAATGCGGTCTCTGGCCCATAGGAGCACTAAAAACTTCTCCAAAGAAAATTACCTTTATGCTTAGTTCGGTCACTTCTAGTACCTAAATGCTATAGTATGTATGCAATAAAAACCATTCAAGTAGAGAGTATCGAAGAAAATGCGATCGTCGCGAATATGCGCGACGCGCGCGGTCGCACCTTATCACGATTTTATTAATGTCCTGTACGTTTTCCTACATGGATGACAAGCAAATTCATTCCTGATGCGCTGCGGGTCAAAAATTGTACACACGCAATTCGGCGCAAGGTGGCTGTGATATCTCTCCGGACTATGAAGCTAGGCGGAGCCACGGCAGCTCATACACGCAGTTACTAATGCTGAGGAATTACGAGCCTTTCTTCAAAGTGGCAGCTTCATCCAAGAAGTTTGTCCGCATTATTAAGAGTGTGCAATTCGCTCATCTTCAAAGACACCGTCCAAAGTTGAGGGTGTCGAGCTTTTGGTAGCATATAATGGTAGGGCCCCCTGGTAATACAATAACAACTGGTTTTGTGGTTTTTAGTATGAAAAAGAATTTGATAAATACAAATTAGGAACACAAGAAATTCAATTCCTTTTTGTTTATTTTCTACACTATTCGGTTTCGGGGCTTAGAACTATACCGGTAGTGCGGCTTCCTTGGTGCCCCTCGTCAGTAGTCCCCAAGGAAGCTTCAAAATTATCAAATGAAAATCTAAGATGATCTGAGACGGAAAATGGCGTATAAAGAAATTGAGTAAAGAAGGTGCAAGTTTCGTTAACATGTACGTATACGACAAAATAAATGGCAAGTGTCATCCGAGGAGATAGCGACCTCTTTTTCAAACTGGAGTACTCCCGCCGTGACCTCAGAGCGCGCTAGCGTGAGCCCAAGTGTCATGTAGGTCATGTAAAAGAGGCAAATGTATGTTACTAGGAACTCCTTACTTACGCATTATAAATGGTCTATTGAATAGTATATGATAAAGTTTACTAATAAAAATATGATATTCCCATCCATTTCAACTAGTTAGTTCTATTACTCTTTCCTTAAAATGTGCATAATTAGAGCAATTTCTGTAAATTCTAAGAATTTCTGAAGTGCAAGTATTGTACAATATATATCTGGGAATATTGGACTCCCAATGTGGATATCTAAATACTTTGAAATTATAGTCATCTGTCTTATTAACATATTGAACTCAATTTTATTATTGGAAATTTCGAGAGTAAGGTCTAGAAAATTTGTTTCTGTCAAGCTAAGGTTAGTTTTCTCTATTTGTAAAGAAGGATGATAGATTTCTCTTAAAGTTCTTTCGAAATGCGATGCATCAGAGACATGTAATATGTCATCTATATATCTGTAAGTGTGATTGTACAAGTTAGTGCTATGACTCAGAGTTCTTGTCTGTCTTTTTAAGAACTCAAATTCCATGTATGATAGAGTAAGGTCTGCTATCTGTGGGCTACACGAAGCTCCCTGAGGTATTGTTTATATATCACTCCACCAAAATACAGGTAGCTAGACTCCAGTATAGAATCTATTATATAAATTATGTCTTCAAGTTGATAACATCTGCCCTGTGCCGTATCTGCATTAACATACGATACTTTATTGTTATATATTCTGATATATTTATATCCTCTCATGCATAAGCTTATAAGTTTTCTGAGATTAGATCTGACCACGTTATGTGGCAGATTGGTGAACAAACTAGAAAATTCGGCTGAATATATTTCTAATTCTTCATTTGCTGTCAGCAGTTCTTTCAGCACTTGATTACTATTTTCTATAGCCCAAAAATGTTTTATTCTAGTTCTTTGATAAATAACTTTACAATAGTTTATGAAATGCTTTCTAATATGTGCAAGCATTAATTGCAGTATCTTGTAAAGGGGCTTAAGAGTAGATCTCTTTGCTCCGGTAATATACCGTAACTTAATGGGTGTCTTGTGCATCTTTGGAATACCATATATTCTAGGTATAACATTCTGCTCTTCTACATGTTTGATATTCATACTATTCAATAGTCTTATTTGTTTTTCCTGAACTTGATTTTCTAGCAAGGTAGTTCTTACATATGTAGAGCCGTCCATAGCTGACTGTTCCATTTCTTTTCTCATCATATGAAGATAAAATTTCTTGCATGTAAAACTGTAATTTGATGTAGCCTTATCTATTGGAGCAATGACGAAATGACGTTGTAATACTCTGAGAGCATTCTTGTCTATAACATCGTTCTCAATCTGTTCTGGATTGTACAAATTAAACATTTTAGCTTTAACTTTCTTTATGAAGTGTTCCTTCAAATCTCTAGCAAGTTGTAGTTTGATAGAAGAGTTAACTTTAATTTTTTTTGATGTACTTTGTTGCTATCTGTATTACCATTTCATCTATCACTTTCAGAATATCATCTTTTGTGATAATTGTATGCGACCTGTACTTAGTACCTTTCTGAAAGATAGATCTTAACCTCTTGTTTCGTATGAAATTCAGATTTCCTGCGCAAACATGCTTGTGATATTCATCAATGAATTCGTTGCATTTACTACACTCACATTCTTGCTCTTCAATGAGTTTCATATTATAGTTGTTAAGTCTTTTAAGGAAGCTGTTGTAGTTGAACATTTCCAAACCCACTGGTTTACTTAAATTGTATCGCAATAATATCTTAATATTGTTAATTTGTTCTTCATCTTGCACAATGTGTCCACTTACAATCCTTTTTGTTCTTGTATCATTACAGAGTTTATGAATTTTGAATCTATCCAAAACATCACCTAAATAAGGTACTGTAATAACTAATTCTTCTTGTGTAGTTTTTAATCTATCTTTTCTTTTCCAAAATGGCGTTGCAATCAATGCATATATTTTGAATCCCTTTTCGAACGGTAACAACGCAAAATCAGAGGCAAAAGCAAAATCCATCAACCTCATTACGTCTTGCTTATAAAGTGTTCTAAAGTATACAAACAGTTCGTGACTTTGTAGATTGTTTATATTTTCTAAAATTTCATCCGTTTTATCAGGACATGTATTTTTCTTTCGCGATCTTCTTTTCTTTCCTCTGAATCTTCTGGTCTCAACTGGACAACGAAAATATGGATGTTCTTTTTTCTCCAGTGGATTTATGTTGTCTGATATATTACCAAATCCTTTGATTTGATCATTAAAACCCAATGGATATGCCGTAATAATATATTGTATCCACTGCAATTCTTTATCCCTCAAAAGTTTCTTTGTATTATCACTTTCACCAACATGATCTAATATGTCTATATTTATGTGTTCTGGATCATATCCTGTTATTTGGAAAAGTTTCACCATGAAAGTATTTAAATTTCCTTTTCAAAAACTGTTGCGATGCTGGTTGATTCTAGTCCTCAATGCTTGTGTTGTTTCTCCTATGTATTGTAATTTGCATGTGAGACATGTTATCATATAAACAATATTTCTTGAATCACAATCACAGTTTTCGGGTTTATTACTTTTATAGTAGTAATTTGTTACAGAACTCTTGACTACATTGGCGAAATCAGTTTTATCACATATATGACAATTTCTTCTCTTACATCTTGATCCTGTATAATTGCTAGAATTTGAATTATCTACTATCTTTGACCGGTGGCTTTCAGAGTCATTGTTAGACGTAGACAACATTGAACACGTATTTTTGTGAACTGAATTACTATTTTTGGTGGACCTGAGATCCGTCGAGTTCGAGGCGATCCGTCCTGAACTCTTATGCAGTTTCCTTTTGAAGGAGTATATTTCCTCCAGGGCTAGGGCAAGCCTCTTCATCGCTGGGGAGCGTTACCCGTGATGCAAACTGCATCGGATGTGGGTGCCCAACACCACGCCAGGATTCTCCCGAATATTCGATGTATTTTTCATGTATTTAATGTTGGATAGCACAGCGAAAGTTAGTGTTTATGACTTTCCCATTCTGGGATGGTACAATATACGTGTAATTATCTAAATATGATTGCTATCATATATTAATTACTAGCTGGCTTACCCGGCTCCGCCGTATGTTCCGAATAGAAAATTCCATTTCTCAACCAATCCGGACCAAACTTGGCACACATACACTTCGGGCTCCGGCGGGTGTCACAGTCCACTTTTCGTTATCGATCGATGTCGATTTTATCGATTTTTTGCAAAATTTGAGCTAGGGGGCTGGAATTTGGCAGGGGGGTGTAATCGAGCATGCTGATCACCCCCACGGGGGTGATCAGCATGCTCGATTACCCCCCTGTGCCAACTCCCAGCCCCGTAGCTCAAATTTTGCAGAAAATCGATAAAATCGATATCGATCGATGACGAAAAGTAGCCTATGACACCCGCCGGGGCCCGTAGTGTATGTGTGCCAAGTTTGGTCCGGATCGGTTCAGAAATGAAATTTTCTATTCGGAACATACGTACAGACATACAGACATACAGACAAACAGACATTCAGCTTTATATATAAGATTGTTTGATAAATTATTTCCCAATGTATTATTTGTTAAAGTTATTTATTTAACTACTTATATAATTACTACTCATTTGCGTTCTCTATTTGATGTTACATATATGAGTTTCGGCAATCTAATGAAACAAGGGACTACTTTAACAACTTAAGTTTGCGAAAATCCGGTAGCAATATCTATTTTTTATACGTACAGCCTCATGTTAAAGGCACCGTCCACCCAAAATGGAGGTTGGCGAGATTATGATGGCATACTAGTGTGGGCCCTCATGTAGACAAACCTCCAAGCTTCGCCGCAAAAGACTGCTTCTCTCTGAAGCGAGAAATCCGCTCCGGAAGTAACAAAGTGGGCGGGGCGCCCCCGGCGGTCCACCCAACTCGAATTCAATGTTTTTGTCGCCTTCAGGCCTTCTGAAAGCCCTGATTCCGAATATGGAGTCGAAAATTCGCGAAACCCCCAAAAATCCCTGTTTCGAGAACCCTCTGCAACAAGTGCAGGCGAGATAAAGCATGCAAGTGGGCGGGGGAACCGGGGGCGCCCCGCCCACTTTTGTTACTTCCGGAGCGGATTTCTCGCTTCCGAAGCAGTCTTTTGCAGTGGAACTTGGGGGTTTGTCTAGCATGGGGGCCCACTCTAGTATGCCATCATAATCTCGCCAAACTCCATTTTGGGTGGACGCTGCCTTTAATGTTGCTATTCCATGCCATATGCCACTAAAAGACCTTATGTCTCCTCTTGCTCTTAATGCACAAGGGTGGCTGGCAGGTAATGTCTGCAACTTAACATGTCTGACTGGGTTTCGATAGTCCTGTAAAGTAATGTGCTATAGACAATCCACCTATTAGACCTTATGTCTCTTCTTGCTTTTAATGCAAAAAGGGTGGTGATAGTACCAGAACACCCAGTGTTAAATCAATTATAATCTAAGATCAGCTCTCCATCTACAGACCTTATGTCTACTCTTACTCTTAATGTAATAGGGATGGATTGCTGGAATATAGTTAGCGTGGCTGCTTGCATTTACTTTAGACAAATTAATATAGATTCAATTCAGTCACAAGTTTTTAGTACTTATCTTTGCCTGTTCTGACGCCCGCCCGCGATCCTCTTGGAGATCACAGGAACCCAGTCTTGTTTTCAATTGTAAGATTGTACCGAGGATCTATTAGGACTCTGCTAGGCATGTCAATGTGAAGGTCGTGACTTTTTAAGTTGTGATAATCGAAGATTTGGAGATCCTGAGATTTCACTTATCTTTACTACTGACATGCCTAGATGCCACGCCTAAGACCATAGATCCTCGATGCGTATCTATAGAAAAATAGACAACTCTAAAAACAGGGGGCCTTCTATGGAGATGCTCCCGGAAAGCACACAAAACAGTGTTCTCAGTTTCTATAACAACATCCTGACATCCACTGTGCTCAAGTATCAGAATATGAGAAGCACAAGATAGATGAAGAAAGAAGATCACAGATATTTAGAGCAGCGAAATATGTCTCCTCACAGCGATACGGTACCGAGCCGATTACCTGAATCGAAGCAAACTTGCTCTGTACTCGTGCAATCAGGGTAGTTTTCCCCGGACACTACCCAAGGCGAACACATAAACTCTTTTTCTTTGAGTAGACTCTTTCAAATGTCCACTACTTCGAAAAAGGTTAATCCGTGTTACTTTATAATTTGATTTCAGAAAGTCATCCGAATGGGAAACAAAACAGGAAAAAAAGACGATCAAGCAAAAATCTACATACAAGCAGCAAAGGTAACGGTAGACTTTATATAAGCAAAGGTGGCAAATGATGGAACTCCCGAACATCTTATGTATGTGGCTATGAGTGGCGGACCGAGGCCCCCCCCCCCCCGAGAATGGGTCGCCAAATTTTTGAAATTTACTTACGTGGGTTATAAAATTGTGCAAGCGACTTGTTTATTTATGCAAATAATATAATTTTTTAAAATTCAAAATTAGTACTGCAAAAAAATTTCTTGCGGGGCGTGTCGCCAGCCACGCCCCCTCCTCCTTGATTTTGGGGGTATGGGGCCGCAAAAGATTTGAAAAGCACCCCAAAAATTTTTTCGGAGTGCGTGGCTAACGCCACGACCTTCATTCAAAATTTTTTTGGAACCCCGTACAGAAATCCTGGGACCGCCACTGGTGGCTATGTGTATAGGGCACTCATAAAATCGTGACAACGATTTGAATGCGGTCTCTGGCCCATAGGAGCACTAAAAACTTCTCCAAAGAAAATTACCTTTATGCTTAGTTCGGTCACTTCTAGTACCTAAATGCTATAGTAGGTATGCAATAAAAACCATTCAAGTAGAGAATCGAAGAAAATGCGATCGTCGCGAATAATTGCGCGACGATCGCACCTTGTCACGATTTTATTAATGTCCTGTACGTCTTCCTACATGGATGACAAGCAAATTCATTCCTGATGCGCTGCGGGTCAAAAATTGTACACACGCAATTCGGCGCAAGGTGGCTGTGATATCTCTCCGGACTATGAAGCTAGGCGGAGCCACGGCAGCTCATACACGCAGTTACTAATGCTGAGGAATTACGAGCCTTTCTTCAAAGTGGCAGCTTCATCCAAGAAGTTTGTCCGCATTATTAAGGTGTGCAATTCGCTCATCTTTAAAGACACCGTCCACCCTATGTTGAGGGTGTCGAGCTTTTGGGAGCATATAATGGTAGGGCCCCCTCGTAATACAATGCCCAAGTCACGGTGCAACATGCCGCTTCGGATGCGAGAAAATCGCTTCGGAATAGCGAAGATGCATGAGGACCCCCATCCATGCCCGCCCATTTGTGCGCGTCCATCCAATCACCGTTCCGGAAAGCCGGCCTGTGGGTTCTCCAGAACGGGAATTTTCGGGGTTTTCGAGCACTCTCGACTCATATTTGGAATCAGGGGCATGAGAAGGCCCTGGAACGACAAAACGTGGAAGTCGAAAATCTGGGTGGACGGTGCCTTTAGGGCCAGCAAATTTGACGCTCAGCATAGTGTCCCTGCTGCTCCGAGTTTCTCTACAACAAAGGTGAACAGTTTTAAGGGAAATCCTGAATTTTTCTCGAATATCCGAATATCGAATAACATTCAAAATCAAAATTTTTGAATATTCGACTATCGAATATTATATTCCTAGAAAATAGCAAATTTCGAACATTGGACTTTCGGATAATAAACAAAAATCGGATTTTTTAAATATTCAACTTTCAAATACTAAACAAATATCGATTATCATTTGTCTTTCGAATATTATTCAATTGTCGAATGATATCGAAAAAACTGATTGCCAATGAGATGACTGCTTATGGAAAACATCTAAGTTAAGTTGTTTCATCATAATTTATAATAACGGGCTGAGGATGTTTACGTGTTTTTGTGTGTGTGTGTGAGTCTGTCTGTCTGCCACGAAATTCGTAGAACGTGTCCCAGCCAACCTCCTGAGCCAAAATTTTGCACAGCGTATGCTACCAACATGAGAGTCCAATATACAAAAGCATGAGCGGATCCGTTCTGTGGATCCCTCAAAAAATGCGCGTCAATCGGATCCACTTGGCTTTTGGCCAATAAAATTGAGGCTGTAGCACGACTATTTGCAAAGTCACGGCTATGTCTGACAAGTTAATGTGCAAGCCATGGACCCTGGCCTAAAAAATTTGAACTGAAGTTCATCACTTTGTGAAAACGGCGCCAAAAAGATTTGGTCGGTAAATGTTCAATTTGCCAAAATTTTATCCGATCATTTGAGGAGATTTTTGCACGGAGATGTAGCCCACGGTGATTATTGCATCTTATGGTGAATACCTAGACATGAAGTCCAAAAATCAATTCAGATTTACACTTTTTCTTTTGAGAACAGTTTCATTCACGCGAAATTACCGATCTCATATGGAAAGGCTTTTGAAATGAGTAATTGATTACAAATCATTCGTGACAGTCCGCATAGCGCGTTGTGTTTCAATGTCAGTATTGGGCGGAAATGAGTAAGTCGTACAGATAGTAGGGCCAGTGCGAGCCTCTGCGAAGCAGAGGTGACGCACTGGTATACAAATAATTAGAATAGACACTTTTTATTAGGTCGTCCCAAAAGTATTTTCGCTTTATTTGAGCAAGCGCCACAGTCCGCAGAACAAAGTTTTACAAAAGCTCTTGGTAGCATTGGATGCAGTTTTTCATGCTTTTTCAAATATTCAACTTTGTTAGCAGTTAAACAAATGAGCTTTCAGGAATTGCGATAAACTGCGACCCATGCTTTTTACCAAGGTCAAGTTCCACTATTTTTCTAAATTCTTGTATTGTCTCTCCGAAGAAAGCCAAGTAACTTGCGGATAGAGCAAAGAAAGTAGCAAAACAGTTTCGATCTCCTTCTCAGGACTCTCCATAATTTTTCGACAGAATTTTGAACGACGCCATCGAATTTTAGGAGTCCCATATCAGACGCAGACTCGTCAAACTCCACTAAATTCCTGATCTTTGATACTTTCAAAGTGGATTAGGATTCAGCACTAATTTTACGAAGCAAATGAGCGTTTCGGACAGAATATCTATTTTTTAATTTGTCGGTACAGCCTGGGGTTCCTTAAGAAACATGAATTTTGCCGATTTTATCCTCCAAGACTTCTCGAATCAGGAACAAAAAACATGCCTCCGAAAGAGGAGAATGTGCTGCGTCGAATAACACCCGGTTGCTCCGGCTGTTGTTCTAGTTTAATTTGACCAAATATGGAATTTAATAGCATCGAAAAAACAATTTTGAAAAATTTTCAAAGTAAGCTATGGAAGGGGCAAAAATTGTTTTGCTTCCTACTTTGCTTGCCCTATCGACAGGTTACTTGTACTTCTTCGGGGATCAGTAGAAGAATTTAGAAACATAGCTGAACCTTACCTTGGTAAAAAGCATGTGTCGCAGTTTATAGCAATTTTCTGAGAGCTCGTTGCTTCATCTGCATTGTGAAGACGATCATTTGGAAGAGCATGAAAAACTGCATCGAATGCTGCCAAGAGCTTTTGTAAACCGTTGTTCTGTGGCTGTAGCGCTTGCTCAAAAAAAGCGAAAATACTTTTGGGACGACCTAATATATTACAATTTGGGATGGTTTAATGGTCGTGCATCCATGACTAGTGGAATCGAGCAACTCTTACTACATGGAAAGATGGCTCTTTTTACATACTGCAAAGCTCATCCACAGGACCATTCAAACGTATAACCCCCATCCAAAGTTGTGGATTTATATACAGAATGCCCCAAAAGAATATAGGCAATATTTGACCGTTAATTTTCCTCCCACATCTTTTGCCGAACTTATAGGGAAGGCTACCTAACTTAGCTCGGCCTTTTGGTAAAAGGCATATGTAGTCTAAATCAACTTTGAAGCTGATTCCAAATATGCTATTCCTAGCTGCCACGCTTTTTCCTACGCAAAATTGGCATATTACTGAACATGAGAAGACTGGCTGTAGACAAAAAGCTGCCAGAAAAAGGTGCTGAGATATCGAAATAGTACAAATCCAATCTTTTCTCACTAAAGTAAAGCTTAGCGCAGGTCTATCAGCACTTGAATAATGATGACGTGATGCCCGTGAGTCATTGAGCATGCCAATTCTGCGTAGGAAAGAGTCCATAACTTGCTTCGGAATGGTGCGTGGCAGCTAGGAATAGCATATTTGGAATCAGCGTTTGAAGCTGATTCAGAACATATATGTCTTTTGCCAAAAGGCCGAGCTAAGTTAGGTAGCTTCCCTTGTTAGATACTATTTTGTAGTTGCCTCAACTCAAATCTACAGTGCATGAAGCAATCGTCGATCGCACTTCACTGCTGTAAGATTACCTTGGAAAGAGTGAAGAGGGTTCCGAGACAGTGGGGATCATATTTTGTTTGAGAAAGAGAATCAAGAAAAGATCAAAAGCTCATACATTAGGGTATGAAAAATTACTGAAAATACAAAATTTGCATCCAACCGTGGAGCTTTGTAAGTTATGTCAGGTGCAGCGCAGTATATTTTTTTAATGTTTCTTAAAATGTGATTGCACATCAAAAAAGGTCGAAGACGTGAAAAGTTGCCTAGTCACACTGCTAAATATATTCTCCAATCTTTTGAAGAAGTTCTTTCAAACGGCTTCGTAGTGGCTCTACTCAGACAAATGACCGGAACTTCCGCAGCACGTTTACGGAAGTTCCGCCGGGTCACCTGCGGAAGTTCCGTAAACATGCTGCGGAAGTTCCGAATCGAGGTCCTGCGGAAATTCCGAAGAATGCCAACCACAAAGCAAAAGAGAACACCGAAGCGAGATTTACACCTCACTCTATTGACTGTGAGACCCACCTACTATCCTCTACGCTACGGCTGACATGTTCGATAATGTACTCTAGTTGTTGGCGAGGCAACATCACGAGACAACACATTCAAAGTCCTGCGGAAGTTTTGGCAGGCCAAAGTGCTGCGGAACCTCTGGCATTTTTCGGATTTCCGCAGGATTTTGAAGACGGTTTTGCGGAAATTCCGGTTTTCAACCAGTTTGGCATGAAAATCCCGCGGAAATTCCGATTTTCAACGTTTTCATTTTTGCAATAGTGAGCGAAATCCTGCGGAACTTCTGCAAATTTGGCTTGTCCTGCGAAAGTCCCGGTGATTTGTCTGAGTATGTGCTAGAGATTCGTACCGTAGTCCCGCAATAATAAGAGCTATGGGTAATCCATGTTTTTTCTACAGATGTAAGCTGGAGCGAACTCTAAGGAATGGCACCCCAAAG